CACCCCTGTTGACATGGTTGCTCCACGGCTTTTGTGTTTTGGCGTGTGCTGCGCGCTGTGAGTGGGCGTGAGTATCAACGCCCACGTGCGCAGCTATCCGTGTGTGGGTGTACATCGCGCACCAAATATGCAGGCCTACATGCTGGCGAGGCGGAGTGCGATCACCTCAAACACGCGGTACGTGATGCTCTCCGCCTCGTATCCAAACATACTCGTCCCCGCCCCGGTTACCGGGGCCGTTCGCGCCGACACCGCCTCCGACCGCGTGGTCGGCGACGTCAGCGAGAGCGACTGCGACTGCAGTGAGTCGCTTCCGTATATCGACGTCCGCCGGGCGTTTTTTCCATCAATCGGCGCCGTTGAGCAGCGTTTGCGCGGGTCCAGAGAGGTGGAGGAGAAGGCGGTGGACTGATGGCGGCCCAGGTACGGCACATATGGGCCTAGTCCGCGCAGAATGCTCGCGTCGCTCAGCCCGCTATCAAACAAGGCCACGTGTGCGTGGCAGAAGTGGAGAAGCTGCTCCTGTGTGATGTACCCGCGGCCCTCTGTATCGTACATTTTAAACACAGCCTTTCGCTGTTGTTCGCTGTAGCACGGGACGAAGTCCTGCACGTTACAGGACCGCCGCGCACGGTTTGTTGCCAGACGTCGAGGACTCCATCGGCGTATCCCATTCTGTGGCTGCGCCTGAGACTGCAGTTGCAGCTGCCGGTTGCACGGCACCAAGCCGGCTGTTTGTGTGGTGGTGTTGTGGCGCAGGCATGGTTCACTGCTCGTGGCCCGCACCTCCTTTGGCATCGAGCAAGAGCTACTTCTTGGCATCTCTGTGCACCGGTTACTTCTTGTGACGCCCACGTTGTTCCCACCAGGCTGCGTGTCCCGTCTCGCATCGATGCGCTGCGGCGTGGAGGGCGAGGACAAGGACGGCAACGAGAGTGTGGTACCCTGCTGCGCCGCTGGCACCTCATGGGAGCCTTTTGTTGTCAACTGCGCTTGCTTCTTCTGCTTCTCCTGCTTCCCCTGCAGTAGTGGCTGTTCATCCTCATCCTCATCCTTGTCCTCGTCGTCGTCGTCGTCGTCCGGCGTCGGGTTGTTGCGACGATGCGGGAAAGCGCTAGTTGGGCGTCCGCTATGGCCGTCCCGCTGGGGCTCGTAGAACTCCAGCTTCACCATGAGCTGCACGGAGAGGTCAGATACAGTCAGCGGCAGCGCATCCGCCAGCATGGGGCCGTGGCGCCGCTGCTCCTCCCTATTTATCTCGCAGTCCTGCACGTCCACAATGATGGGATCGAAGTCTACCTGCATGTGCAGGTGCGTCCTGGGGTCATCGCCGCTGCTGCCCGACCAGACCGCGTGCACGTACGTCTGCACCTCCCCGCGCACAAACAAGGGAAGTTCGACGGAGAGCGTCTCCCTCACCGCCGCGGCGCCGTTCGCATCCACGTTTGGTGGGATCCATATTGTCCTCTTCATGAGGGACACCTGCGGATGCGGCCACGTGAACTCCAGCCGCCAGCGGCCGTGTGGGGAGAGTGGAAGAAACCCGCTCACACGAATGTGCGAGTAGACGAGGCTTCGTGGCTGGCACTCGCGTCTTCGAGCCTTACTGAAAGAGCAGCTGTTGCTGCCTGTGGCGGTGTGATTCTCATCTGCGGTAATCATTCCAGAAAGCATATGTCGATGCACTTCCGGAGTGAGATCACTAGCGATAGAGCCCGAACGACCAGCATCGTCTGGTCTCATGGCGACGTGGTGTCTGCTGGTGATGCTTTGCATATCCAGCAAGACGGTGTCGTCTGCTGCAGACCTTTTCTTGCAGTTAACAGGATGGCTCTTCGGTGTGGTACCTGCCGAGTGCGCCAGTCGTTTAGCGTTGGTGAGGGGCCAAGATTGCGAGCACCGCGCGCCACCATTCTTTGCTACGGGCATGGGAAGGAAGCCGTCAGCAGCAGTGGTGTCTGCGCGCGGCAATTCCGTCATCTTCGCAACGCCATCAAGGAAGAGTTGACCAGACGCCGATGCGCGCGTGACGCCACCGTTCTTCTGGTTGTAGACCTTGAACGTCAGCTGCACCTCGCCGCCGCACGGGCTCAGCGGGAACCAGTCCCCGGTGTAGCCGCAGCATCCGGTGCCCAGCAGCACCGCGCCGTCGGCAGTGCGCAGTCCGACCCGCACACCGTCCTGCAGCAGGCATGCGGAGTCTTCAAGAACAGGAACGACGATGCGGAGCGGGTCGAGCCCCAACACACGGCGCGAGGTGAGGCGAGGTGGGCGACGCGGGCACATGTGGTTGCGCTCTACCACCGCCTCCCCCCGCTCCATCGCAAGCGGCAGGAGTGTCTCAGTCATGAAGGAGCAGCCGCCGACGACGAGCTCTAGGGCCAATGGGACATCGCACAACGACTCCACAAGCCCGCGCACCGCCACCAACGACACGACCAAAACAGATGAAACCTCCGGGCGGTACTCGGGCTTTACTCCTGATGCCGCCATGAGTGTGGCACCGGAGGCAATGTATTTCTGCTCCATCCCTACTGCAACTGAAGAAACCGAACGGAGGCGACTTGAAGATATATATATATATATATATATCCCCCTCTGCTTTTGTGTCTTTGGCTACGTCCGCAGTTCCCCTTCCTCGATCACCTCTCTGTTAAAAGAAAAAAAAAACACGGCTATAAAGATCAAACAGACAGAGAGGAGCGAAGAAAAGAAAGGAAAAAGAATAAATGAGACGGCGAGTGAGTCCTTGCCTCATACTTGGTTGTTCGTCTGTGTATTAGTGACGTCAAACCTCCAGTACACGCCGCGCACACGCAGATGCAAAGGGGGGGGGTGCTCGCCTCGAGTACATGTCAAACGGCCAGGCTGGCGGCTAGAGCAGTGTGTATATGCGCCGAGTCCAACACAACAAGAACTGTTTTGTACATCAAATGTGTGCATGCGCATACGAGGGTGTCTGTGTGTAGGAGGCCAGAGAAACATCTATTCTCTCACCACAAACTCATATCTCCGTCTCACGACTATCCCCACGGAGAGTGAACCTACATGTATCTACCAGACGGTCATTGATCATCACATCATACGCCGCCTCGAAGCGGACGTTCACGTGCTCCGTAAACCGCACATCGACCTCGAAGACACCAGGCTGTCCGCCTCGCGTGGCGGCAGGAATGACTCCTTGGGTAGGAACAATCGTGAAGCGGGTCGCATCCTCCAAGACAATGAGCTGCTGCTGTTGGTGTTGCTGTTTTTGTAGTAGTAGTGATGGTGAGTGTGTTCGTGGTTCCTCCTGCGGCAGATGCTTTACCTCGCCCATCACATGCACATCGGCGGTACGGGCCTCCGCTGCAGTCTCCTCGCCGTCGCCAGCTTCATCCCAATAGTGTGTCACCTCCTTCAGCTGTCGTTCCCGAGTAAGGACCAGCGAGGGCTTCTGACTGGTGCTAGTCTCATCAGAGCTGATCTGCTTCTTGTGGAACATTTTGGTGGTCGCGATGTTGGAAGCCAGCGGTGCGGCCGTGGTTACGGGTGTGGATGATAGGTGTGACGGAATAATTACGAAACTCACCTCCGAAGGATACGAGCTCAACAGCTTCATCTTCTGTGTGTACGATGGCTGTGGTCGGCCGTCGTGGAGCAGCTGTCCAGGGCGGAACCATAGCTGCGATGGGCTGCAGCTCACCGATGGCGACGAAAAGATCACTGCGAGGGGGACAACCTGTAGCAGCTCCAGCACAGGGGGTGAACAGACAGCGGGAGCTGTGTCTCCTGTCTGTTGTTGTTGTTTGGGTTGTTGTTGTGTCTGTTGTTGCCGCTGAGACCGTAGTGGTGATGGTGGCTGCTGTTGTGTTGGCTGTCCCGCAAGCATAGCATCGTCAGGGATGTATAAGATGTTAAGACACCCGTCCACCGTTTCACAGCGCCGCATCATGGCATCCACCTCCTCCCTTGACGGCCTGCAGTACTCCACCACCACCTCCAGAACATCATGCGGGCGCAGGCGGTGCTTTGTGGTCCTCAAAAGGTTTGCGTCTTTATGCGGGGAGCCAGCACCACCACCACCACCACCAACAGCGCCACTTCTACCACCGACCTTGTCACGGCTATCACTCTCGTTGGGGTACGCGAACCGCGGCACGGTTACCTCCATGCTCGCCAAATCCGCCGTGCAGCGGCGCTTGCTTGACGCCACCACCATCCGCGCCTTCTTTTGCTCCGCACGGCTACTCCACTTCAGGCTCTCCATCATCCGCCGCGTCAGCGCCTTCTCCTCGTCGTCCGCCTCCAACGCGGTGTCTTCACTGCTGGTCGAGATGAACCGCGTCGATACAATTTGAAAGGACGGAGAGGGAACATCGAGTATGAACTCCATCGCCGCACAGCTCATGTTACTAAGCCGCAGTGATTGACCACACCACGTGCCCTCCACGTACGGCGGGAAACGCACAACGTCGCCGGACGGCTCAACTGTCAGTTTTGCCACGCCGCAGCGAGCCCGCACCTCCAGTTCGATGGGGATGAAGTAACGGCGGCAGTGGGCTGCCACCTCCTGCCGCCGCTGCGCTATGAATGCGCGTAATGCGTCGCGTTCCCCTTCCTTTGCGAGGATCATCTCCAGAGAATCGTGGGCATTCTTCTCCGATGAGGCGTACACCTGCAGCGAACTTTCCGCGTCGCTTATGTCGTCCTGCAAACCGTCGTCCTCCTCCTCATTCTCGTCGTCACTGCTGCTCCTGCTGCTGTTGCCGTCATTGTTGTTGTTTTTACCACCGGCACCACCACCAGTGATACTGTTGTTGTTTCTGGCGTTTCCAGCAACGTTCCTGCCGTGATGGCCGTTGCCAAGGGGGCTGTCAGAAGCTTGAGCTCTTCTCATACTGATTTTCTTCTTAATTGCCGTAATCTCCCCCGGTTTGGGTGAAATAATGACGTTGTTCTTCACCACACCAGGGACGGAGATGAAAGACGGCTGCACCTTTAGCATTGCAATGGGCCGAACGATGCTCTTCATCCATGCCGGCTCTGGCTCCCGCAGACGCTTTGTCTTGAAGAAGCGTTCCGCCGGATAGCGTGTGGCGTTTATACGGTAGAACTCATCAATGAGAAATCCATCGTTGAAAGCGGTTTCCGCCACCTCTGCTGTGATGATGACGCCGCCACGCCACTCTCGCTCCTTGTCTGCTGCCTTCACGAACGTTGCGTCTGGTGCGTATTCAATAGTGACCTCCTTCGACGCCATTGTTGGGAGGAAGAATGTCTCGGGCGCAGCCGCCACGCGCCCTTTGCCCGCCGACTCGCGCTGCTGCTCTTCCTCTGAGACGGGCTCCAGCCGCAGAGTCACGGCGCCGGCCGCAACGTCATCATCAACGGCAACAACGGAGAAGGTGGCGGTGGTTAGGAATATCTTCACCGACACATTTAGATCACGCGGGACGCGGCTGATGAGGAACATGGTGCGCCGCGACCGCCCCACGCCGGCAATCACCGCCGGCATTAGGAGCACCTCCTTGCCGTCCTGCACCGTGAAGCCGCCGGTGGTGGCGTCGAGCAGCACCGGCTTCCCACTCAGCTCCAGTGTTAGTGGGATGTGCGTGGGCGGCAAATCCCCGCATCGCACCCGTAGCGTCTCTTCATACCGACCTGGGAGGTTTGCGAAGATCGACACCGGCACTTCCGGTGCGTCGTGTGGATTCAGCGGGCCAGCTGATGACCCGCCAAAGATAGTGGCGCACCCACGCCCATCCAACAGCACCTTTTGCGCGCTCACCAACGCGGCCCGCCTTTCCCGCTCCCGCTGCTCCGTCCCGTCAATACCCTTGCACCAGAAGGCGTGTTGGTTGACGTTCAGTGTAGTTGCAACGCTCGTCACCGCCGTCCCTCCTGTTTCCGAAGAAGAAGACGGAGCCATGGTAGGGTGGGGAATCAGTTGTTGTTGTTGTTGTTGTTGCGGCTTCATCTTTCTGTTCATATAGCTGGATCGCTGCACCTGCATCCGTGTATTCATACCCGTCGTAATCGACGCGGCTTTCCTTTCGAGAATTCTCTCCGTGTCGATGTCCTTATCTTCTTTTTTGCCACCTAGAGAGTAGCGCAGGGCTTCCACACTGTATGAGCTGTGGCAGCCAGTCTGATTGCTCACACGCAAGCCCAACAGCTCTGACCACACCGGCTCGCCATCGGGCAGGTGCACCTTTATCACGACAGGCGGGCAGTACGGCCGCAAAACAACCGGCAGTTCTTCCGTCCCACCACTCATACCAACAGCAGTCTCCGCAGAAGCGGCAACAACAAGAGCAGAAGATGCAGGAAGCAGATCAGCGCTCTTGCTATTATTCTTGTTGTCCCCGTTATCCACATTTTGGAGAATCTCATTGCTGCCAAGTGAAGCATTGCCGTTTAGCACCTTCATCTCCACAAGGTTCCACAGCAGCGCCTCGATGTAGTCAGCTTCCTTCATCGTTGGCGGCGGTGGGAGACCAAAGGGCAAGAGAGGTGGAGCATATGCCATGGCATTGGCGCCCTCCGCAGCCTTTGGGACGGGTATGAGATTGAGCGCCACCGCCAGCTGCTGCACCCTCTCACAGCGCAGCTCGACGAATAACTCCTGCGGCGTTCGTGCGTTTCGGATGCACAGTAGCGCCTCATACCCGCCGTCGCCCGCATGGTGGAGACCGAACGCGCAGCGCACTGGGATTTGGATGCCGTGTCGCCCCGCCCGCACCACGCCTGGTGGCGGCACGCACACCTCAATGCACGACGGAAGCGCCGCAGGCTCGACGGCGTACGGCACGTCGAAGGAAGACGTGTTGGACACAACGAAGCTCTGCTCCACCCACGAGCCCTCTGGCACGACGCCGAAGTTCACGACGGCCTCCTCCAGCAGCAGCAACGGCGCCTGAATAGTCGCACGCGTTTCGATAGCGAGCGTGCCACCGCCACGTACCACTAATTCGAAAAAGGTCTGCGCGTCGCCTATCTCCACCGCCTGGCGATACACTGTCACTTCCACCGACTCCCCCGCACCGAGGCGGAAGGACGGCGGGAGAAACACGAAGCGGTGCGGCTCCCGCATCATCGGATCCTGCAGGTCGAACACGACAGGAATGGGGTTGTCGTTTGTCACGGTGAAAGACGACTCCATCTCGCCGCCCAGTTCAATCAGGCCAAAGTCCAAGAAATCGGTGCTCACGCGCACAGACGGTCCAATACCAGTCACACTGAGGTGCAGCTGATGTGAACAGCGCAAGTCCGTCAATATAGGTGACGCCAACGCTGCTGCTGCTGCTGCGGCTCCTGCTCCTGCCCCTGTCGTCGTCATTGGTTTCGCCAAGTTGGGCGACAGCAGCTCCATCAGCTCTGGAATGTAGCAATCAATCGACACTTCGTGGTGGCCAACTGCACGCAATGTAAAACGGAACGTCACGGTGACGCTGGCGTGCGGCGGCACGCATCCCGTTCGAGGCTGGAACTTTACTTCCACTCCCTCACGGTCTCGGGCAGAGGAGAGTTGTATTTCCGGTGCGCACTCGTCAGCCTTCGGGTCGAAGCAGAAATGCAATGGGCGTGGCGACTTGTTTTGCAGCGTGATGCGCCGGACATTATCGTAGTGAACGAGGCACTCCACGCCCTCTTCAAGGTGGTCAGGAATGATCACGAGGGACGGTATGACAGGATCGGCGAAGAGGTAAAACCCTGCGGCGAACACACCGCAGCAGCCGGAGGACTGCGGTCGCGTGCAGTGGTGAAAGACGCTGTACGGGTCCGACATCTGGTCCACCACGTTGTGATCCGGCACGGCAGGGATCGCTTTGGTGCGCGTGTACTGCGCCACCGCCGCCGCCGTGATGAGAGACGAGGAAGCAGTGAGCACTTCGGCACCGTCGACCGGCGGCGTAGGGAGGCCATCAAGGAAGAGATNCAGCACAGCGGCAATGGGCTGCGCGGCGGTGGGCCGCATGCTCACGCGGAAGCTCGTGTTCTTCCGCGGTGGAAACGTGCCACTGGCGGGAACCACGCGCAGCTGCACGCATGAACGCCCGCCCCCGCCGACGCTGTCGGTGCGCCAGTAGTACGGCACGGGGATGGGACAGCTGTTGCGCACCACCACCTGCACCTCCGTCTCCACACCAGGTGCGGTGCCGGGCACGAGGTATTGCGGCACATCATCAGAGTCATCCTTCTGCTGCTTGCTCAGTTCAAGTGGGCCGATGCGTACAAGTTCAACATGCGGCAGGACCCCCTCGGCGCGCAGACCGAATCTGTGCTCGGCTACGACGGGCCCCTCCTCCGACTCCTGCACCAACACACAGAACTCCTCCGTGTCGTAGCGCGCCTCCTTCATTGGGGCAAAGCACACCGCAACATCCATGCGGTCTCCGCCCGGCAGCAGGATGCTCGTTTCGGGCGGTGGTTCAATTTTAAAGTACGGGGAGCTGCTGCTCAGCTTGATCACCGCGTCAGAGCCGGTATTCTCAAGGTAAAAATATTTCGTGCACGAATCCATGACAAAGGTGTACGGGAATTCACATATCGTGACAGCCTGGTCCGGCTCTTTGTGGCGCCGGCGGGAACGCGTCTTCCTAGGAACAGCAATCGTTACAGTCGTGGTGGTCTTGGTGGCCGCCAGAGAAGGAGCGAAAACAGCTGCGGATGACACCACCGCCGCCGTCGCATCCTCCTCCTCCTCCGCCTCTTCTTCCTCATCCTCCAGCGCCGGGATGAGTCGGAACTGCGGCAACGCCGTCTCGCATAGCACCGTGACATCAAAGAAATGCCACTTCGCCCCCTCACCGCGGCAAGAGTTCACCTCCCGGCAATGCCCGATTTGCAGCACCTCCCTAATAGAGGGCTCCGACGCACTCTGTGGTTCAAATGTGACCCGCACGTCAATAAACCCACCACAGGCAAGCGGTTCCTTTAGCGCCGTATAAGGCNTCGATGATGGCAATTCTGGGGCGCCGAGGGATGAGTTCACAATCGAATACGTGATCCATGTGTGACTGGAGGGTCGAACCCGAAAGCGGAGACGCCTTGGATCACGGCTAGTCAATCGAACTGTAGTGCTTACCTCCATCCCAGACGTCGTCCGCAGCCGCACGCAGTTGTTAGCTGCAGAGCACTCAATTTTTGCGATGCTACTTCCGCCCGCAGCTCGTGAAGAAGTGGTATGGGAAGTGCTGCTTCCCGCGACTGTTGCTGCTGCTGCTGCGCCTGACACTTCCCCCTTGGATAGACGCCGGACAGGTGGCAACGACACCACGGTGCTCTCATCGTCACGGCCTTTTACTGCAAGACGCTGTTTTTGTTGTTGTTGCTGTTGTTGCTCTTGACGGCGCTGAGTTGTTTCATCATCGGCGGCATGCACTACCGGCGGCAGAGTGGAGCTCCACAGCTCCCCAACACCCATCCAGTCGCCGGGTGCGTGGGTGAGAAGCTTCGCCCGCAGGTCGGCAGAAGAAGCAACGGTGCTATCCGCCACCCTCCCCGCGCGTGTAAGGATAGGGCGGAAGCCGTACTCCTTCTGCAGCACTGCGTTGAGCTCCGTGGCGAATGCAACCGCATCGAGTACAAACTCGCAGGTGGCGCTATTATTGTTGCTGCTGGTGTTACCGGAACCGCTAGCAGCGAGGCGCAGCGGCGACGACGCGCTGCTGACGCTTGCGAATGTGACTGACGCGTCGACGGCAAACTGACCGTCGTCCAGCGACGCGTCCTTGCCCCACGCCTCGTCGCCGACGGCGTCTGTCACCCCAGCCTTCCGCTTCGGTGATTTCCCCGGGGCCCCGTGCAGGATGTCGTCCATCATGTACTCGTCGATGCCACGCGAGCAGAAGAAGCGCTGCTGTCGACGGGCAGTGGTGCGCTGCACCTCAGCCTCTTCACGTGCCTGCTGCATCTGCTGCTTGTAGCCCTGTACGGCCCGCCACCAGTGCTCCTCCCCCCGCGCCCTTAGCAGCGCGGCCTCCTTCTCCTTCACGACGCGCGACGCCTTGCGAGCGGCCGCGGCGAAGGCGGCTTTGCTGCTACCATTCAAAGAGCCGTGCGCAGGCGGGTTCTCCGCGAGGCCGCGCTTTCCCACAGCACCGCCCTTCCGCGCCTTCACGGCGCCCCTCTTTTCCGGGCTCCTTACACCCACGTCTAAGCTCGGTGGGCGCACCGCTGATGCCTCTGGCAGGGCCTCGCGGAGGCGCCGCAGCTCCGCCTGGAACAACTCGCTCTCAGCCTCCTCCAGCTGCTCGAGGTCACGCAGCTCATCCGCGAAGAGTTCCACCGCCTGCGTCGCCCATGCCGAGTCCAGTAGCGTGTCAGTCAGGCGATCGCATGGGTCCATGTCCTGGTTTCCCTTTTTTTTTCTCTTGTATTCCCCCTGCCTTCTCTATTGATGTGTGGGTCGTGTATCCCTTGGTGTGGCTTTTGCTATTGACACTGGTCTTCTTGTTGCTGTTACTGCTACTGCTACTGCTGCTGCTTTGCAAGCGCGGATGTGTTGGGAACGTCCCCCGTCGAGCGAAACCCTCCAGCAACTCTCCAGTCTTTCAACAGGAACGACGCAAGCAGCGATAGATTACAGGAGAGAGAACCAAAGCGAAACAAAAAAGAACAGGTGTCACATGTTAAGGGGGCATGGAAAAAAAGTGGAAAACCAGACACGGATCAAATATACGCGCCGAACGAGAGCGGTACGCCCACACCCAATGGCGTACACACAGTCAAACTGTAACACACAGATAGGATCTATGATGATGAGGGAGGGGCAGTAGTAGCCCGCTCACTGGAGGCCAGACAGAAACCCACACAGACCCTCACGCACGCGATCAACACGGTGAAGACCAGAGTCGTCAAGCGTAATAAATGCTGCACCTAGAATGGCCAAAGGAAGGCCGTGCTCCAATAGCCGTCAACGCCGCTGCCGTCTCGGCGGCAGCTGCAAGCAGGTAGAGGTTTGAATGCTCCCCATCTTCTCACTGTCTCATGCTATCAAGCGCGCTCACGCACACACACAAACACATACAGTTGCACATAGTAACGCATGCACGCTGACTAAACCATCAAAAAGTACTCCTCCTGGGCATCAATCAAGTCGGCGACGGCGACCTGGAACCTCTCGACGCTCTCCTGCAGGTCTTCTAGCATCTTCTGTGCCTTCTGCTCCGCGACCGTGGCACTGACCGCTTCACCGTCCCCCTTTACCCCCGCCACGTCAGACCTCTCACAGCCCTCAGATG